AACCCTTCCTTCCTTCCTTCCACCCTTCCTTCTTTCCTTCGTTTCTTCCACCCTTCCTTCCTTCCTTCCTTCCTTCTTTCCTTCCTCCCTTCTTTCTTTCCTTCTTTCCTTCCTTCCTTTCTTCCTTCCTTCTTTCCTTCTTTCCTTCCTTCCTTCCTTCCTTTCTTCTTTCCTTCCTTCCCTCGTTCCTTGCTTTTTCTTTCTTCCTTCCTTCCTTTCTTCTTACCTTAGCTTAACCATCCTGATAATGAACATTCTTCCTTCCTTCCTTTCTTCTTACCTTAGCTTAACTATCCTGTCTACTAAGCAGGCACTAACACTAACTAAGCAGACACAGCATTTCTAACTACGTTTAAAGAAAGACACCCAATATGTTTTGAGTAGCCTTAAAATGTGGCATGTAAAAAAAAAAAAAAAAAAAAAAAGAAGGGGGTCGAAAACCGTTGTGGCCTTTGTTACTGAGACGTTGATTGGTGCCTCCTTTGCAGAGATCTTGCTGGGTGCTGTGTACATTTGGGGAAACCCCCAGCTGTGTTTCCCAGATCCCCAGAACATTATATGGAGGGACACTTTGGATGAGCAGAACATTCACACCAGGCAGCACCGACTGCAGCATCGAGCACCTAAATGTGAGCACTTTATTAGCAAATACCTCACAGGAGAAATTTGTAGTCAATACCAGTTTATGTCAAATGAATAAACTTTGATCCACTGTCATTACATAAATAGATTAACCATATATTTAGCTAATATTGATCCCTGGAGCTATCTGTTTGTCAAAAGCTTGGTGCAAAATAAGTTTAAAGTTAGCATCAGAATGTGTATTTTAGGGTTTAAGTAGAATAAAATATTTAAAACTATAGACTTATAAGTGCATTTTATATCTTGGCCTGGCCTATATTTGCCATAAGCTGATATTATCTCGTTTAATTGTTGTCGGGTTTTCTTCTTGTCCAGGTCCAGCGTGTTCCTCTGTATGTGCGAATGTGAAAAGCTGCTGGGGTGAAACTGCGCAGGACTGTCAGACCTGTGAGTTTACACAACTGGGACACTTGTTTTTAGCGAGAGAAAAAACAAACAAACAAACGTGCAGCTAAAATGTTGCCTCACTCTGTTTACAGTGACTCGTACTAAATGTGCGTCCGGCTGCCAGAGGTGCAAAGGTCCACTGTCCAGCGACTGCTGCCACATGCAGTGTGCTGCTGGATGCACAGGACCCAGAGATTCAGACTGTCTAGTAAGTCACAAACATAAACTGACATAAACCCTAACATAACTGTATTTACTTAGAGTACACAGCTAGGGCTTTTGCTCTACACACTATACATTTTATCAGGATTTTTTTTAGGAAAGTTACTATGACGCATTTACGGATGGATTTATATACCGGTAATCCAAGTTTCTGATTAACTGACATTTGCAAGTCCAATCAGAAAGAACTTTTTTTTTTTTTTTTTTCTGGCTCTACCAGAAAGCATTAAGAAACGACTGTGGAGCAAAAGAAAAACAAGTCATGTTGTCTGACAAGTTTTTACCTTGTGCCAAAAACAGATCCATCATAGAAAGGAAGGAGTGTTTATTCATTATGCCTATTCTAGCTATTATTCTAGCTATACACACTGTATATATAACTGTATATACTGTATATATATATATATGTATATATATTTGTGTATATATATGTGTATATATGTGTGTATGTGTGTATGTGTATATATGTGTGTATATGTATGTATATATATATATATGTCTATATATATGTGTATGTATATATGTGTATATATGTATATATTTGTATATGTGTATATATATGTATGTATGTGCATATATGTATGTGTGTGTATATATGTGTGTGTGTATATATATATATTATATAGGAACATTTAGATTTTTTTTTAATATATAATTTAAATTATTTTATGTTGGTGATACTGCAATTATAAAAACACTGCATCAGTTTGACAGCTGTATATACCAATAGTAACTTAAAGTGATGGTGTACTGGACTGTCATTGACTTCTCCAGTATTGTGGTATTGGTTAACATAAATAAAATTGTCAATCCAGCAGTTTTATTTCTTCTCCCAGCCTTCGTCGAGCTAAGGTCATCATCACCTGTAAAGCACAATAACAAATGCGCGCACACACACACGCGCGCACACACACACACACTTGTCTTTTTTAATCTGTTTCCTTGTTCCTGTCCTGTAGGCATGCCGTCACTTTAATGACAGTGGCGTGTGTAAAGAGAACTGTCCGCAACCAACCATCTATGACACGGTCACCTTTCAGACCAAACCCAACCCAAACAGGAAGTTTAACTTTGGGGCCACTTGTGTCAAGACATGTCCCTGTAAGAATGTTTGTTTGGAAAATACTTTTATTTTTGTCATTCATTTTATTCTGATGGTTTATTATTTTTTTTTTACCAAGTCTATTTACTTTACCAAGTTTATTTACTAAGTCCACTCAGCACAAATTCATATTAGAGGATGTTACAATTGTACTTTTTTTTGACATTTTTTGATACACCACGTCTCTTTATCTATACTGTAGATAACTACCTTGCTATGGAAGTGGCTTGTACTTTGAATTGTCCCAATGCCAACCAGGAAGTCATAGTCAGCCAGCCTGATGGAAGCGAGGCACAGAAGTGTGAGAAGTGTGAAGGAGACTGTCACAAAGGTAGCACTCACTTTTCTGTCTTATCACGTTTTACATTTGAATCCTGATTAATTGCATGTCAGTGGGAGAATGTTTGCGATGAATTGCGAGAAATCTTATTTGTATGGCACATACACATACACAGTTCGGAGAAATGTGTACCAAAACCTCTGAGGTAAGGAGAAAGCCATGAACAAAGGGACACTAAGATTTGTTTTGTAAAACACTTATGACGCTTTTGGCAGGATTATTCCCTTCACACAGACAGAAATAAGGTCATTAAATCAATATATATATATTTTATATATATATATATATATATATATACATATATATATATATATTTATATATATATATATAATATCTATATATATATATTCATATATATTTATATTTATATTTATATATGTTGGCGTTAACCTACAATGCAATAGCAAAGTGTTGACGTGTTCTGCATTAGATTATTTTTAAATTGTTGCATTAGGCAACAAGATAATAGAAGGAGAAGCCTTAGCTTAGAAATTCCTGTGCAGTTCACATTGGATTCATGCAATTCATGCTAACAGTTGACTAAAAGAAACACAGCTGTTGCAGCGGCACTGGGTTGTTTTTTTAAAAAATGTATATACACTGGAGCCTCAGTTGTCGACAACAACGGAAATACTTTTTTTTCATTTCAATTTTTTCATTGAAATAAAGTGGTACACACCTTATTTATTACTGGTTATTATTATTAAGTAATTATTATTATTATTATTATTATTATTAAGGTGGTACACACCTTATTTATTTATTACCGCTACTCGGTTGCCAAACAAGGCAACAGTATCAGGCAGGCAGCAAGTGATCACTATCTGACTGAGCGTGCGGCGTCTAATTGTTTTCATTGGATTTGTGTATGAACTTGTACACAAAATACTGTTAAAAAAGTTTGAATAAGCAACCATCCAGGGTCCAGGAAAGGATTAATCCATTTTACATTGATTCCTATGGGGGGAATTGTTTCAGTTTTTCGAACTTTGAGGTTCACAAACAGCCTTTAAAATCGAGGTTCCACTGTATTTTTATTTACCCAGCATAGGTATATCCAGGTAATGTGTCAGCTAAAATCTTAGACCTTAGTGCTGTGGCGCTTTGTTGGCATGTGTGGGTGAATTTTTGGAGTGGGAGTGCGGCATGACCAGCTTCTTGTTAGCTAAGAAACGTTTTGGGTGATGGGTACGACAACTGGCACATTACTGTCTGTGGGCACATTCCAGTGTCTCCAAACAATGTCGGAGTACAAGTTGTAAAGTAGCATGTGCTGCATTTGTGTTTTCGTCACTGAGGTTTTCATGAAACTGGAGTAAAAGCTGCAGCTTTATTTCGGTAATATCCCTAAAGTAGTACTTCTCAAATAGTGGGACTGAGAAAGACTTTGCACTTTCACTGTTACTTATTAATTTGTGAGTTGCTGTTCTGAATCTTGGCAGTTTCTTCAGGAGGATTTTGTTCATTAACGAATGAATAACATCTCTGGATTACAGGTCGTAGCTGGGAGGAAATAGAGAGTTTGTTTTTCACAGTCTTGACCATAATCTGCTGGGGATTTTTTTTCTTCTTCCTCCAAGATGCAGAGACTTATGAGGACAAAAACCTAAAAATAAAATGGCTCATTTGCTACATGTCCAGATAAGAGAATTATTTTGCATTAATAAGTTTAGTCTCACTCTAGTTTTTAGTTGCACATAATTACTGTTCCAGGTTTAGTGTGGAATGGCTTCTGTTTTTTATATTTTTTATATATTTATTCCTATGTCTATGTTTATATATTTAAACATTGTAATACTGCTTCTGATTGTGTTTAGAATGTTTCATATTGTCTTCTACTAACTACAAAACAAATGTGTTATTAATTGATGTATACCTAACTGTGTGACTAAAAGGGAGGAAGATAATAGCGTGTAATGAGTTGCTAGACAACAAATACTGAGACATGGACTTGAATTGACCAAATAGAGAGATAGATTAAACGTAGGTGTGGCGCAGGACAGGTAGAGAAGAAGCGGAGTGACTTTTTAGCCAATCAGAATGCAGAACACAATGCACGATGCAAATCCGTGAAGTAGCGAAACCGTGAAAAGTAAACCGCGTTATAGCAAGGGATCACTGTATTTCAATCAAAGAAAAGTCGTATTTGTTGACAGGTGCATATGAATTCATGGAAACTGTCCTTCAGATGCAGAGAGCCCATTATTACTGGTTAATCACTCGGCTCTGGCACATACCCTTCGGCACACCCTGCCATTGCAAGCCGCCGTGACAAGGTGCTTGCACAGCTTTAAACGAACAATATTGTTGATGACCGTAATCTAGGACGTACAGAGGTGTGGAGGAAACAATTTAATTTTTGGTTGTGTTGACACTCGAAAGCAGAAGATGAATTATGATAGAAACAATGACTGTGTGTGATTACAAATGATGATGCTTTCTAAAAAAAAAAAAAAAAAAAAAATTATTCAAATATATTGCGACTTTTTTCCAGTCTGTATCGTGCCTACAATATAACTATTTTTTTTCTGGTTTGTGTTCCAGTGTGTTATGGCCTGGGTATGGACAACCTTGGCATTGTGGACAACCATGGCGTGACTATGGTAACAGCTTCTAATGTGGAAGAGTTTAACGAGTGTAAGAAAATCTTTGGAAGCCTGGCCTTCCTTCCTCAAAGCTTTGCAAGGTAAGACGTACACTTTATGAAGCACAAAGACGCGTTTATGCTTTTACTTTTAACGTTTGAGTTTTAGTGAAACGTCGTTCCTTTGTGACTGTTCAGGGACCCACTGACAAACACATCAGGTCTGACTGTGAAGCAGTTGATGCCCTTTAGGAATCTGGAGGAGATTACAGGTACAGGACTGAGTCAGTTTTATTCAAATCTAAGTTATATCATATACCCTAATGCATTGTTTCTCAAAGACTGGGTCGTGACCCTCAGGTGGGTCACAAGAGATTTTTTTTTTCTGAGTCGTGTTTCCCAGAAGTTTACGAAAAAAGTCTATTGACATGGGTCCCGAAGGACCGCAAAGATCCCCAGAGAAAATGTTTGGGGAAACACTGCCCTAACATACTTATTTCCTAACACAGAAAATGTACTGTAAAGTCAACACACATTTATTTCTCTCATCACTGCTTTGGTTTCTTTTTTGACTCAGTTGACTCAGTTCCATCTGCCCCGTTAGCGTCGAGTCTCTTCACCTGATTTGTTTGTGCAGGTTACTTATACATCGAGGGATGGCCTGAAGAGTTGACCGATTTGAGCGTGTTCGAGAACCTGAAAGTAATCAGAGGCAGAGTGCTGTACAAGTAAGACATCAGAGCTGCCCACTTCACCAGTCCGTCACGACGAACATGAAGCTATTTTCTTTGTAATCATGGTTCATAGCCACTGTTTTTTTTTAGAAGTCTGGAGACATTTGTTGGATAGATCACAGAACCAATTAGGTTTCCATTGTCACCTGTGTGAAACTCTCTCTCGTTCCAAGACCCACCGCGAAATGGGGAGTTTGGGGAGGACATTGCGAAGCAGAGGCGGGATAGTTAATATAATATTTCTGTATATATTTACCCTTTCCGGACCTCCCCCACACTGTTATCAACCCTCCCTAGACTGTATTACCCTTTCCCACACAATTATATCCACAGTAGAGTTGTAGAATGTCGGCGCAGAGAGAAGTGAACGAGAGAATGACCGACAGACAAGGGGAGACGCTGAGAGATGCTACGATACATGAGCCAATCAGAGTGAGGATCAGAACAGAAGAGCATGCTCAATTAGCCAATAGTACACTGAGTACGCGTTGTATTAGCTAACAGTATGCTATGTACGATCTCGTCTAGGTAAACAAAGCTACCAGCGATCGTTCACAAATCGCGCTGATCTCAATTTCAAAATGAGAAACCACATTTATAAAGCCACAACCTTTGTATTTCATAATGTCTTAGTTTAGTTTTTGCTATGTTTCGCAATATAGCGAAAGTTTTGCGAGATCGGATTCAAAAGAAGTCTGCAATGTACCGAGGGAGCGAAAGGAGAACCGCGATATAGAGAGGGTAGTTGTAGTTACTTGCAACCTAAATTATGAGTTAAGTTCTTTTTTACTTTTGAAGACAGTACCTCTGTAAACACATGACATTTGTGCATCTATTGTATATATTAAACAGGAAATGTGATATTTTTTTTGCTTTAAACCATCCTGTTTGAGGCTCCCTCAAAATAAATGAAAGTATAAAATTCAAATATTGCAAAAAGTAAACACAAGGAAGTAAAATCAGCATCGAAGTGCACGTCTAGAACCTCATGAAAACAAATCAACTAAACATAAAATAAAAAGTGTATAGATGAAATATAAAAAGATAATATAAATGAAACAATAATAGAATTTAAATAAAATACAAATAAATAAAAATATATTTTTTTTAGTTATTATGACTTTTATTACTACAAAAAAAACACTACCAAAATAAATGAGTTTTCAATGGAGATTGCTTTTTCCCAGTTTAGGGGAAAAAAAAAAAAAAAAAAAAAAAAAAATATTATGCATACGTGAATGTTGAGTTTCGGTTTGAGTCTCACAGTGTTCCATGTTGTTGATGTGCAGCCACTGTGTCATTGTTTAAACTCTGCTTCTTTTAAATCCGTCTGATGCAGTTAAGACTGTTTGTTCACTTTCAGGGTTATACAGGCTAATAATTAGCTAACCGCCCGCTCCAACCTGGAGCAGGAGGTAATGGATCACTAACTGCTGCGGGAACCTCAGAAGAGGTCACAGTGACAAGTGTGACATCTGCTTAAAAGAACTTTTGCAATTAAAGTAGTATAACATTTTATAATAGGGTTAGGGTTAAAATAATTATGATTATGTGCATTTTGTACTGTATGCTATTATACGGGAGGTGAAGACTTGTAGAAAACAATATGTCGTTCCACTGAAGACAATAATTATTACTCAAGACAAAGTATTGGTATCACTTACAGTTCAGTTACGCTCCGTCTTGAGTGGTTTGAAATAATGGGCCATTTATTTTACTCTACATTTTTTTATAAACACACCTCATAAAATTATAAAGAAAGGTCTTAGTCCATTATTCTAATGTAAGGCATTGAAACTGGGCTTGTAGTTTGCACGGGATCTAGTTGTTAGCGGAACAGATAAATACGCCGTGATGCTGTACGCGGAAGACGCTTTGTTGTACATCATACATTGGATCGTGCGACATTTGCTTTTTTTTTTTTTTTGTTTTTTTTTTTTTTTGGAAACTTTTTGCCCTTCATTATGTCTCCCAGGCATAACTCAGCCTCTTCTGATGTTTCTATGTCCTAGATTATGATGTCACGACTGTGTTAGTGTAGGTGAGTGACATACTGTAGGTACTTATGTTCAATATGTAAGTCAGACTTAGAGCAAAAGTCAATGTACGTAGCATCGTAGACATGGAATTTGTATGCAGAAATATACACGTAAAATGTTTTACCTTTAATGAAATACAAACCAAAGGAATGTTTACTCGTGTGAATAGGAATGAGTCAGGCCCACAACATGATGTTTCTCACAGCTTCCTGTGCTGTTTTCTCAGGGGCGTGTTGTCACTTGGCGTCCAAAATTTACACATCCAGTCTCTGGGGTTGCGTTCGCTACGCAGTGTCAGTGGAGGTTTGGTCTTGTTGCACAACAATTCCAAGCTGTGTTACACCGAATCACTGTCCTGGGTGAGCCTGCTGCATCCCACGCAAGGACCTCATTACATCATCAACAACAACCAGGACCCTAACACCTGTGGTAAGTGAAGAGACGCCCAAAACACAGCTTAAACCATGTCAAAACTGTTTGTTGACGTTACTGTAGCTATCTTTTGTTTTTGTCATATAACACAAAAAACATTTTCGTCAAGGAAGCAGACTAGAGGGAAATTAGCTGCAATAAGCATTTCACTCAAAACCTCAGTAAACATTTTATGAAAATGTCATGGTTTTAGCAGACTTTTCGGGCCCATTTTAAAAGGCAAACCCAAGGGTTAGTGTGATCTGCTAAGGGGCTAGGTAAGGTAATGGACAATTGGACAAATGTCAGCCACAAGGCTGGACAAGTATCTACTGTAAACACAAAAGCAACAGGGCTTGATTGGGGTTGATTGTCTTCACTGTCAAACGAAGCATGTCAGGTAGTTATCCATACTCGACTCAAAAGTGTTCCTACCGCTGTCTTTTCACTTTTGTATATTCATCCAATCATTCTCTACTACCTCCATCTCTGAATGTATTTCCAGAGGACGAAGGACACATTTGCCACCCATTGTGCGATGGTGGCTGTTGGGGCCCGGGGCCCAGCCAGTGCTTTTCCTGCAAAGGTTTCCAGCGTGGCATCGAGTGTGTGGACCATTGTGATGTTGACCAGGGGTGAGAAAGTGAAGCTGCATTCAATCAATAAGCTGTCCAAGTGATAATGTTGTGTTGTCATCGTCTAATCCTGCACATACATGTGGCTGGGCAGTCAATGCTATACGTCTAAAAGGCGCAATAAGTCAATATACAAGCTTTTAAATTTAAAACAATTCCCTCGGGGGACTGTGTATGGCATATTGGCAATAATAACACATAAGAGTGACCTGAATGTATTGAAATATGTGTGTATCTAAAGAGTTCATTTCTAACTATTAATAGTTAATCTATCTATCCATCCATCCATCTATCTATCTTTCCGTCCATCCATCCATCCATCTACCTACCTACCTATCTAACTAACCATCCATCCATCCAACCATCCAACCATCCATCCATCCATCCATCTATCTATCTTTCCGTCCATCCATCCATCCATCTACCTACCTACCTATCTACCCATCTACCCATCTACCTCCCTGTCTATCTATCTATCCGTCTATCTATCTATCTGTCTCTCTGTCTATCTTTCTATCTATCTATCTATCTACCCATCTACCCATCTACCTACCTGTCTATCTATCTATCCGTCTATCTATCTATCTGTCTATCTATCTACCTATCTACCTATCTCTCTATCTGTCTATCTATCTGTCTATCTATCTGTCTATCTGTCTATCTATCTACCTATCTACCTACCTATCTATCTACCTACCTACCTACCTACCTACCTACCTACCCATCCATCCATCCATCTACCTACCTACCTACCTACCCATCCATCCATCCATCCATCCATCTATCCATCTATCCATCTATCTATCCATCCAATCTGACACGACTAAAAGTGTATGCTTAATTTTGTGAAGGAAATCCCAAGGAATTAATAAAGTTCTATCCATTCTATTGTAGTGGATGTTCTTTTGATCCCAGGTCAAAGACAGGAACGTCGAGGCGGAGTTCCACGTTCAAACGGTGTTTTTATTACAAAGAGAGCAAGAAGAAGCCAGAGAGTGTACAGAGTACATTCAAACAAAAACAATTATGCATAAAACCGAACGTACAGAGACTTTTCTCTGGAGTCAGTGCCGATCTAGTAGCCTGCCGGTTACCCAGGACCTGTGCCAGGAGCGCTGACTCACCAACTGTCCCAAGACCTCTGAATTTATACAGACATACAAGCAAGTTTGATGTGGGAGTGGGTTTTCTCTTGGTGAACTTCCTCTGCAGGTGCGTTACCATGGCAACCATAGAATGTCTCCCTCTTCTGCTTGCACACGTTCCAGGGGTCACTTACCATTTCAGACAAGCACTAGATGTTTATTTTTATAAACATAGTTTAAGACAGACACTAGGCACCTCATATTGTCCAAGCAAAAGTTCTTGTTTTAAACTTCTTCAACCTTCTTGGGTCTGGTTCTCCTCTGGAGTCTGGCTGTCCTCTTGTTCCTCCTCTGGTGAGCCGTCCGCTGGAGTAGTTTGGGTCGTGTGGTACCACTTTCCTGGTCGTCCTTTCAGCTGCACAGCGTGCTGGGTCCTGGCCGTTGCCTCGTATGGACCGTCCCACCTGGGCTGGTTCCTCCCCCTTTTGAGGACTTTCAGGTACACTCTGGCTGGAGGGAGAGCCGCTGGCTCTTCTGGATCTTACTCTTACTCTTTCACCTGGGAGGAGTAGCTAGACACAAGAGACGTTAGAAGTTCCCAATATGGCTTGTATGCCATTTTTGGGAGGGGTAGGGTGAGGGTTGAGAGAGGATGTGGGTCCTGGTCCTGGTGAGTTTGACTTTTTATCGTTCTGTTTGCTCTTTCGACGTTCCCCTGAGACTGAGGGGGGTAAACGGTGCCAAATTTATGTCGCAACCCCAACATTTGTTCAACTGTTGCCAATGCTATCAGTTTAGTCGATCACATTCTTCTCCTAACCCGGCCATGGATCGATTGGTTTGCCTTGGTTGTTGGTCGGGGGTTAAACTCCATCTCACAATATTTGGTTACAATTTATTTCATTTTTGGGTGCCACCAGCAATTTAGATCATCCAATGTTTGTCTTTGACCTGCATGCGGCACTCCGTAAGCCTATGCTAATGCCTTAGGCACCCCATCTAGTAGCATTAGTCTCCCATCTGGGCCCTACCAAATTTTCTGCAAGTCCCTTACTGCTCCCCGAGCTTCCCAGAGTACTTTTTTCTAAGTGGTCTTCCTCTTCACTCCCAAACTACTCTTTCCTGACAACAGCGCTTTTCTCCATCCTCCATCGGGTCAGCCGTGTTAATGCCTTCTGACCTGTGTTGTATGTGTGGTTTATCCAATGGGCGCAAAATGCGTGTTTGTCTTGGGGCATTGGGGTCAGTGAGAATGCTGCTGAGGTCACATATGTTTTTGAGACAGAAACATCCAAATGAAAATCTTTCGTGCAATCTGGAGTGGCTAATGTAGCCGCCGAAGCTAACGCTATTTTTTAACTCTCTGTCGTCCAGTCAAGAAGGGCTTTTAGGTTTCACATACCGACGAAGTAGTACAACCTTAGTGGCCTGCTAGCAGCTTTGTGGTTCTGTGGCGGCTATGAGAATATCCTCATACATACTGCACCATCAAACAGTCCTATGGTAGCACGAGGTCACACAGTTTGTCTTTCAATACTTGGTTAAAGTACCAGGAGATAACTTGTTTGTGTTAATATTGATAGATAGGAGGGGTGGGCTACACGGTGGCCCGGCTGATAACAGCCCATAGGAACTCCCCCAGGTGGGCCTTGCTGTTTGGGCTTCCCCTGAGACGGAGTCTGCTGGGGGGGCTGTCCCTGCTTGCTGCTGCTGCTGCTGCACTGTTTGTCTTTGAGTTTTGTTCTGCTTTTTGTCTGTGCTCGCCTCTGCACGAGCTTTTGCCAGTTGTAATTTCAACAGCTCTCATCTTGTTGCCTGTCTTTCACTGTACTGTCTTGGGGCATCGAAGTACTCCTGGAGGTAATATATACAATGTCTACGCCACCTGTGGTAAATCAGGGTTACTGATTTTTTTTTTTTTTTACTGTTGAAGATAAGCCAGCCATAACAGCTGCTTGATACATTCTGCCAGACAGAAGGT